GGTCGCACACAGCAGATGCCGATGACTACTATACCTACAGGACAAAACAAATTCTAATGAACAATTTATAAAATCACTAGTTTTTGCTATAGAAAATCGATGTTAGAACTATATTTGTATTCATTAATGAGCTCTCGAGCAATTTGCAGACAAAACTTTGAAAGTCTCGAGTTTTTCGTCTTGTAATGGCATGAGAGTTCTGCATAGTGATGTTAAATAAATAGAAAAACAACTTCTAATACCATTTTATTGTTTTTAGAAGAGATTTCGAGAAACTGTTTTGTAAGTCTGCACAGTCTCATATTTTCGTTGTATTATGCAAAACAAATTCGAGTTCTCACACGCTCGAGCACATGAAATTTCAATGACGCTTTAAAGTGACACCGTTTTCGAAAGGATTAAGTGTATTTCTTTATTTTTGATCAATTTCAATAGAATGACTGAACTGAAATTAAAATCGTTTTATTTCAGTTTGCTCTATAATAAAAAGATTGGTGATTTAGTGAAGTACTACGCATTATATGTATTAATTTTTTTTTCTCAAACAAAAGAAAAATATAAATTCTTTGTTATTGATAAAATAGTTTAACTAAATTTCAACAGAAAATAATTCAAAATTTGTATGATGAAGAACTACACGATATATATTTTAAAAAATCAGAACCAATGAGAATGATATAGAAAATAAAAATCTTCTTTTTTTTCATTCAAATTGATCAACTTTAAGAATAATATCTCTTTTATTATTAGAAATTTTCATTTTATCTATATTCAGTCAAAGATTATAAGAACGTCTTCTAATGTGTTATGGACTTTATGTTGATAGAATTAATAATCTAGTCAATCCCTGGATCAGTGTCTTTCGATATGTTGATTTCAGTTTTTATCAACTATTTCGATTAACTTTTGTTGATTATATAAGTCAGATATATATTCGATTGTGATCCTTACAGTTTCTTTTACCACTATAGTCCGTTCTTTCCTGTACTAGTAATTTTTTTTCTTTTGCGTTCTCCATTTCATATCGTTCTTAATGACCTTCAAGGTAAAATAAAGAATAGTAGCGAAGAATATTCTCGTATATATATATATATATAAAGGCTCTTACGTAATACTTTATTTCTATTATATCGAATTATACAAATCATCTTCTATCGTTATTTTTACTAGTATGTCTTCGTCATCATCATCCAGTGAACTTATTGGTCATTGTCTTTGTGGTGAAGTAAAAGTTAAAATTGAACGTGAATCTTTAAATGATAAATCAAATGGTGCATACTTATGTCATTGTGAAAATTGTAAACGTGCTGGAGGTGGATTATGTTCATATGGTCTAAGATTACCCGAAGATAAAGTTGTTGTATTAGATTCAAAATCATTAATAAAAAAATATGATGATACAAATACAAAATCAAAGAATTTATTAGAACGTTATTTCTGTAGTCAATGTGGAAGTCCTATTTATGGAAAAAGGTCAAACTCACCGAACATACTAACTATTAAATTAAGTTTATTTAGTGGTGATCAATTACCGTGTCCAACAAAACAAATATTTTGTAAGGAAATGATGAAATGGGAAAAAAAGATTGATGATGCTAAACATTATGATGAAAGTGCAGAATAATGAAGTTTTTTAAAGCTTTTTTTATATTTATCTTTTTTTTTAAATAAAATATATACCAGCATTATTGTACTTCATAGAGCTTTTTTTTAACACAAAATTTATTTCTATTTTTCTAGTTATCAATTTTATCTTACAGACAGGACACTAGGTGTTTTATATCAAGCAGTATTTATTTTCAAATGATAATAAAAGAATAAAATCTTCAGTCATTACATCAACTTTTATTGATTCTAAATTTATTAAAACTCGAAGAAAAATTTTCGATAAAAACAAAATAGACATCGTAAAATCATACTCATACTCTATCCATGTTTTTGTTCTATAAATAGAGGTATCGCTAAAATTAATTTGAAAGAAGTTATTAAATGACAGATAGAAATGAAAACTGCAAACGTTTTTCTCTCTTCTCACACGTATTGTGCAGCTGTCAAAAACACTATTAACTAGAATAGAGATAATCAATACACCCAAATTTATAACAATGTTTTTAACGTTTCTGTCCTTCTTACAATGTCGTACATTGTATAAAAGTACTGATAAACTCGTGATATTATTGTAAACAACAGCATAAAGAAAGAAAAAAAATGTCTGGCAGTCGATATGTTGATGAAAGGAATTAAGATAATCTAATTTATGCATCTCAAGACAAGGAAGAATATGTACTCTTGTTATTTTTGATTCTTCTATACTACCATCAGACATATATTTTCTCTTCGTTCGCTCGAAAAAAGAACAGATATCAAGAAGAAGATATTTTCTGTATATAAAGTCTGTGTAAGTCATTACATTCAAAACATTTGCTCTGTAATCGTTCGTGAAATATCTACAATAAATGAATAAATGGAAATGGATCGTCGGCACTGTCATTGCCGTTGTTTTATTGATTTTTGCATTCATTGTCGGATTCAAATTGGGACATAGAAGTATATCAAAAAAGGAAAGTAAGATGATTGATTTGTATAGTTTTTACTACTTTCTCTTTTATCTAAAAGAGGAAGTATTTTATGAACAAGCATTTGAATGACAGTGACAATATTGTTTTCTTTCTTGTCAATAGTACGGCACATTGCAATTATTGGTGCCGGTGCAGCTGGATCTTCGGCAGTTTTTTTCCTCCACAAACAACTTCTCACTCTAGGTCACAGAGATAAAGTAGAAATAACAGTCTATGAAAAAGAGTCCAAAGTGGGAGGTCGAGCAGCGCTTATTCATCCTTATAACGATTCAAAATACGATCCAGTTGAGATAGGCGCCTCAATATATGCTTCTGTCAATTTACATCTGGTACGTGCCATTGAACAATTTGGTTTGAGTCCAGCATATCGTATCATTGATGACAATCATGTAAGTTATCTTTATGATGGGAAAACAATACTTGTTGACATGGATGATGTAACTTCTAGGTATGCATTTACCGTAACGAAAAGTAAGATTAATTAACAATATATTTTCATGTCTAGATACAATCTATTATCTCTTACGAGATTGAAAATGTTAACTGAAACCAGTGTTCACCATTTTCTTCGTCTTTATCAACGAAATTTTCAACTATTGAACGGACCATTTCGAACCGTTGCAGCCTACGTCAAAGCAATAGACTTAAAACCACAACTCAATGAATCTGGCTTCAGATTTCTTGTGAATAACGGGGTGGATGAAATGACTGTCAATGAGTTTGTTGATAGTCTTACACAAGGAACTTATGGACAACAAGTAACACAACTTCATGCAGTTATGACTATAATAGCTATGGCTGGTAGCGGTCAATCGATTAAAGGAGGAAATTATAAAATTTTTGGTAAGTATGAGTGAATTGCTTCATTAAAATTGAATATTTCAGTTTTACTCGACTTCGAAGCACACATTATTTTCTAATTTAACTTTTACTCTTGTTCAGTGACACTAAAATTCAAAATTCTATAACGTTATTCGATAAAACATCTTTTGAATTCTATATCTGACTATGTGAATTAATTTATTTTTTGTAGAAAATATGATCAAAGCAAGTTCAGCGAAGTTAAAAATGAATCAGAAAGTTACAAAAATCAGTAAGAACACACGGAACGGGAAGTGGACTGTAACGACAACAGATTCATCGAACAAATATGACGCTGTTATTCTTGCCACACCACCGCATCACTCAAGTATTGAACTGATTAGTAAGGATCTTGAAATATTTATTAGCCATTTTAAATCTTTATTTTCAGACGTACGGGATAAAATTACCAAAGTCGATTATGTCCAACAGCATGTAACTTTATTTACAACGAACGCCACTCATTTAGGGTCTTCTTATATGAAAATGAATATTCCCATCTCTCTTCTTGTCACTCGATATCTTGAACGTCAGAATAGTACTAACAATCTTAATCTCAATCTCGATGTAGAATCGATGCACTTTTCTACACTTCTCTATCCACGCAATGAGCGTCTTGTCAAATTATTCAGTCCCAACTATTTAGACGATTCCAAACTCGCAAAAATCGTTGGTAGTCGGGCAAATATCGGTTGGATATACAGAAAAATGTGGTATGCTTATCCTCGAGCACCACCAAGAAATGATACGGTGTTTCCTCCAATCAATCCTGACAAAGGTCTATATTATGTTAATGCATTTGAAAGTTTTATTAGTACGATGGAAACTCAATGTGTAGCTGCACACAATATCATTCGACTATTTTTAATCGATTTCGGCTACGATGAGAAAGCAGCTACGCTCGCCGATGACTATTGGATTGATACAGCAGTTTAATTTCTTTTTTATTCTCTTCTGAATAACAAACGATACGAGTTGAACTTCTAAAAACAATTGACAATATCCTATACCCACATTCACTTTTAATTTGTATAATAGATCATCAATTAATTATGTTTCAAAAACATAAAAATTCTATATATTCATTTGTTTAAAAATAGTTCTCAAAGTAGTAACGAGCATTTTCACTTTTTTTTATATATAATTTTATTGTTTATTTGTACAAAGATACATTATTTTGAAGAAATGAATGGGATTGAGTGATAAACAGATGATTCCATTCTCAATATTATAAATAGGTATTTGATTGATCTTCATCATTCATATCAGTAAGTAATTCTCTAGGTGTTTCATATTTTGTTATAATACCATCATTTATAAGAACAATTTTATCACTATCCATTATTGTATTTAGACGATGTGCAATAATCAATATAGTATGATTTGTAAATTTTTTATGTAAAATTTCTTGAACTGTTTGATCTGTTTTTGTATCAACATGTGCTGTGGCTTCATCGATTAATAAAATTTTACTTTTTTTTAGAATTGCTCTTGCTATACATATTAATTGACATTCACCAACACTAAAACCATTTCCATATTCTGCTATTACTGTATTTAACTTATCTTTCAAATTATTAATCTTTGTTTTTAATTGAACTGCTTCTAATACATTCCATAATTGTTCATCTGTAAAATACTGAAATGGATCTAAATTATATCGAAGTGTATTACTAAATAATACCGGAGATTGTGGAATAATATTTAAATTCGATCGTAAAACATTCAAACTAATTCTGTTTATATCAATTCCATCAATTAATATTTTACCATTTGTTGTAGATTTATCAGTTAAACGAAAAAGTGCTTGAAAAATAGATGATTTACCAGCACCTGTACGTCCAATAATACCAATTTTGTTATATGGTTCAATTTTTAAATTTATACCTTTTAAAACAGGTTCAAGTTCGGAACGATAACTGAGTTTATATTCATGAAATTCAATTTTTCCTTCCATTGGCCAATCAGATGGTGGTTGTAACTCTCCATTGTAAAAATCTGATTCCATAGGAATACGAGAATATTCATCAATTCTCTCTGCACTCGTCATATAATTTTCTGTTTCAGCTGATTGACGCACTGCCCATTGAAATATATCTGATAAATTTATAGCATATGTTAAACCTAATCCAACAGAAGCAGCATCTAGACTTTGACGTAAAACTACAGATAGAATTGCTGTTAAAAATGTTACACAACAAGTCAATAAATCTAATCTTAAACCAAACCATCTACTTAAACTATGGAATATGAAAACTGCACGTGTATTAGCATCAATTTTAGTCATAAATGAAGTAAGAACATCATCTGTAACTTTAAATGTTCTAATAGTCATTAATCCACTCAACGATGAAGAAAATAATGCATAAATAGGACTTCTACTTACACTATCCAATCGTTTAATTTCTCGACTTATTTTTAAATAAATATTTCTTAACCAAAGAAATGCTGGAATAATAAATATTAGTATTAATAATATCCATGGATTTGTCATACCAATAATAACGATACTACCTAATAACATAATTGTTAATTGAAGTGCATCAAAAAATGTTAATGGTAATAATTCATCAAGAATTTGTTGATCTTTACTAAATCTATTTAATACGCGACCAATTGGATTACTTTCATAGAATCTTAATGAACTATATAGAACACCTTTTAACATATTATTATGAAAGATAGATGCACCATGTAGTATAATATGAAAAAAATAATTAGCACGTAATATTGCAATTATTAATGTACCAAGAACTAATCCAAAATATATATAAAAATAATGATTTTGACGTTGTTCTATTTCTAATTTTGATGACCATATACTTAACCATTTATTAGTTGTATCATAAATACCTTCACCTAATAATATTGAAATAATCAATAATATTAATCCACTCCAACCATAACGAGAAGTAAATAATTTAATCCAAACAGAAGCATTGATGGTTCCATCATTAGATGTTTCTTCAACAATAATATTATTTTTATCAATTATTTTCGATTTTGATGATTTTATAGAAATATCAATATCATTTTCATTATTATTAATATTTTTTTGTTGATTGTCATAAGATTGTTTAATTTTATTAATTGTTAATAATTCTTTAAATGAACCTTGTTTTTCTATTTTACCATGATCAAATAAAATACAATGATCAAATTCAGATAAAAATTGTATTTGATGTGTAACTAATAAACGTGTTTTTTTATTTAAAATACCTTCATTACTAATACATTGTTGAAAAATATCTCTAGCAATTATTGAATCAACTGCTGCTAATGGATCATCAAATAAATAAATATCAGCATCGGTATATAATGCTCGAGCAAGTGAGATACGAGCTTTTTGTCCTCCACTTAAATTTATTCCTTTCTCTCCAACTATTGTTAAATCACCAGCTGAAAATGATTGCAAATCAGGAATTAAACAACATGATTTTAATACACATTCATATTTTTTTTTATTAAAACTTTTAAAAAATAATATATTTTCACGTATTGTACCAGCATATATATAGGGTATTTGAGGTGCATATGCAATTTTACCATATATTTTACTAATACCTTCAACAAGACACATTTCATCTAATACAGCTGCTAAAAGTGATGATTTAGATGAGCCAATTGCTCCTATAATACCAACTAATGAACCAGAAGTTAAATTTAAATCAATTCCAATTAATTGAATCGATTGACTAGTACTCCATGTAAATGAAGCTTTATTCATTACTATACTACCTGGTATACATTTACAATGTTCTTGTAATGTATTAGTGGAAATAATCTTTTTCCTTAAATTTATGAACTGATCAATACGTTTTGATGATATTATACTTTCATTTAATAATTCAATAGCATTAGGAATACCAATAGCTATTGGATTTCTCATTAAACTAAAAAATGATAAAATTGTAAATATATTTGCACTAGATAATGTTTGACCCATTAACCAACTACCACCAAATGTAGCCAATGAAATTAATGATAATGATGAAAAATAAATAGAAAAATTAATTGCTCGAAGACGATTTGCTTTATGTATACTTTGAAATTCTTTCTTTCTTGTTTTATGTATAATACTTTCAAATGCTTCTTCCCATCTATACATTTTAATAGTTTGACAACCGACTAATATTTCATTCGTAAGTTTTATACGTTCATCAGTCCATTTCATTGTATTTTTTCTGTATATTCGAAATTTTTTACTAAAATATAATTGTAATGGTATTTGTAATAATAATATTGTATAACCAAACAAAGTTGGAATACCAATTTCATTCCAAATTAAACCAAAAACAATCAATGCTTCTAATGGTCCTATGAATAATTGATGAATATATTCACATAAGTGTTCAAATTTACTAACATCATTTGAAATTAAATTTAACATTTGACCTGTTGTTGTTGTTGTTGTTTCTTTAATTGCTGCTATTGGTAATGATAATAATCTTTTATAAATAAAAGCTGCGAGTGCAATACGTATTTGAATTCCAATTCGTCTTGTACGGAAAAAAAATTGATGATGCATTAATACTAAAAAAGTTTTTGTAAGTCCAATTCCAATAGCATATATATATCCTATATATGAAGATGCATTTGTATCATTAATATTATGAACAATTCCTTTTAAAAATAATGGTTGAGCTATTTTTAAAGCAAGATATGGTAATAAAACTAAACCAATTCGTACAATATCTTTCCAAAATGTTTTTGCAACTATTTTCCATGTTTTAATATGTTCAGATTTATTTTCATATGCCTCCCATACTGTTTCAAGTTTCTTGAGTAATTGATTACATTCATCTTTTGATGATAAATCAAATAAATCATTGTCAGTTAATTGACGTTTAGAACCAATATTTATAATTGGATTTACCCACCACCAAAATGCAACAGAAAGCCATCGTAACCAAGATGATTCAGCCCGATCTAATCCACAAGGCGTCCGTTGAGTAGAAGATATTGTCATAGTACAATCATTATTATTCATCATGCTTTTTGTCTACTACAAATTTTTTTAGTTTCAAAAAAGAAAAAACTGATATCACTGTTAGATCTAGATACATATATATATATATATATATATATATACAGTGTTATTTAGATGAATTCACGCCCACATTTAAATTATTATGAAGATGATTAATAATAATCGGCGAAAAATTTTATTCATTAAATATTCTGTCCACGAAATGCTTATCAATGAAATATGTGTCGACGAAAAACGAGATATTTAAAATAAGTATGACGTTTATCTTTTCATGAGTCACGATCAACTATAAAATGTTATCATGTCACTTGTAAGAGATGAATGAATAACTGACAAGTATTTTCATTGATAAATACGTATTATTTAGTACAAGAAGAAATATGGGTAAACTTGATGGAAAAATCGCTCTTATTACCGGTGGTTCTGAAGGTATTGGTTTGGCGATTGCACAACGATTTATTGTTGAAGGTGCAGAACATGTTTTCATTACTGGACGTCGACAAGAGATGCTTGACGAAGCTGTAAAAAGGATCGATACTGCAAATGTAACAGGAGTTCAAGGCGATGTGTCAAATATGGAAGATCTTGATAAACTATACCATGTCATTCAGAAAGAAAAAAAACGGTTGGATATCGTTGTTGCTAATGCAGGTATTAGTTTAGTTGCACCACTTGAATTAATTACTGAAAAACAATTCGATGATACATTCGACATCAATGTAAAAGGAGTATTGTTTACCGTACAAAAAGCTTTACCAATATTAGTTGATGGCGCATCAATCATACTTATTGGTTCTGTCTCTTCTATTAAAGGTCATCCATCGGCAAGTGTCTACAGTGCATCAAAGGCAGCTATTCGTTCTTTTGCTCGATGTTGGTCAGTTGATTTAAAACAACGGAACATCCGCGTTAATACTTTAAGTCCTGGAACTATCAAAACTGGAATGCTTAAATATGTGGCTAGTAGTGAATCGATAAAAACAACTTTCATCAAAGATCTAATAGCTACTGTACCTATGAATCGATTTGGTACTCCCGATGAAGTTGCTACAGCTGCAGTTTTTCTTGCTTCAGATGATAGCAGTTATATTACAGGCATTGAACTTTTTATGGATGGAGGAAGAGGACAAATCTAAAATATTTATTGTACATATTTTTAATAATTAATAAAACTCAATTGAATTCATTGTTCTAATTTAGCTATTGTTTGTCGTCTATCAAAAGATATACATCAATTCTGAGGATTTTCTAATAAATTTCGCTTTCTGCAATACTTATAATTTTTGAATGGAAGATAGTAAAAAGTTCGGGAACATCTCATTTTCTCAGAAACTGAACTACAATCACTATCTTCTTTGAATTTTTATAGAAAACAATTTTCTCGATATTGAAATCAGTAATTTTAGTAGTCACTGTACTTTTCGTTCGTGTAATGTACAATAGTTTTATTAATAAAATAAAAAGAAGATGAAAATCATTTTTTCAGTAAAGTTTTGTCTAACCAAAAATAATGATCATGTCCATTTATAACTATAGTAGAATTTGAAGCATTGAATGTAGTCTGTTGTTTTTCTAACCATTTAATATCAAGCGTAGAATAAGTTTTCCCATAAATATTAACATGTAGAGTATATAATTGTGGCATATTTTGTAAAATAAAACTAATTTTATCATCTGGAAATTTAAAATATAATGATAAATGTTGACATTTTGATGAGAATATTCGAGTAATTTGTTCAATTTCATTTCTACTTATAGATTGTGATCTTCTCATAAATCTAACTAATTTTAAAGAACGAATTTTTCGAGATAAATGTTTACATATATCAATATTATTCCAATATTCTGTTGCTATTTGTAAAATACATTTTTCTGCAACTAATGAATTTAGTTGAGGTGTATTACTTAAATCAACTTATGTAGTTTTGTTTATATATTCGATTTATTATTTTAATTTCAGCGTGTACCTAAAGCAAGATGAAACTATACGATGGAACACATAGTTAATCATGTGCTACTAGAACTTCTTATAAACAATTAAAATGAAGGCCGATGATAAATGAGAAGAATACTGACACTATCATGGAGACGTTCGCATCTGTAAACAAAAAATTCTCAGTAGTGACTTTCGTTAGTTATCGAAAGTTCTATTTCGTCTTTAGAGTGTCTAGCTGAATTATTATCAATCAGCGATTATTCAGTCCCTACTCATGACTTTTCACCATCATTAGTTTTCTTCTTTTCCAATATGAAGATGTATACTTCGAAGTGACTTAAACTTATCAATTGTCATTACAGTCACAACTTGATTGGCACGTCGACGACGATACCTAACTATATAATATCCAATTCGTACTATAATAGGAGTAATAAGTTTAAATACGACTGTCAAACCACCATAAAGACCAATAATAGTCGTTATTGTATAGATTGGACTTATTTGTCCATCAAATGTATATGTACACCAAAGAGGAGTACATGCTGCATAATAATTTTCATAAACTACTTCAGTTTCCCATCTTTCAACTAGAAGATTATTGACTATAGATTGAACTGTAGTATTACGAGACGATAAAGTATCATTTAATGGATTAAATATCATATTTGAATGTGTATACATAGACTTGAGTTGATTAATACATGTTACATTATAGAGACATTCAAGTGTTGATTGAAGAAGTGATTCAAGTGGATAACATCCCACATGCAAACCAGGAATAGTTATTCCACTAAATGAAGCTTGTGAGATACACATTGAACTTGTACCACAAATACAACTATTATCATTATAAGCATGTGGCACAGCCCACAGAGCAGCATATTCAAATCCCGTATCTAGTGAAAGAAAATGCCAATTAGAAAAAATTGATGAAACAATACCATTCCCTTGATTTATATATCGAATGAAATCAAGAGTTAATGTAAATGTTCGAGGAGTTGATAAAAGAAATTGAGAAAGAATAATATCAGTTTGTGCTTTGATAGATTCTTGAGATTGTACTCTTTCATTAATTATTGTATTTCGTGAAAATTCAGTTATTGCTGCATTCACTGTATCATTCGCAAGTGAACAAAGTCCTGAAAGTAATTGGAAATGCGACGGAGCAAACTGACGATAATCATCATATGAATAGTCAATACCTGCGGTATACGAATAAATCAAAGAAATCCAAGTAGAACTGTTTACAACAAAATCACTTGAACATAGTTGATGATAATAGGGTTTAATTGAAATAAATGAGTTATAAGAAACAATAATACTTGTACAAGGACAATCAAGTGTTGTTGAATATTGAGGATTTAATCGAAGTTGATCAAATTTATCTCGAGATGGATTAAGAATTTTAACTATTTTAGTTTGTGTGTCAATAAATGTGTACATAACTAGAATGGCAACGGCAATCATGAGGAATAATAGATAAGCACGTGTAATAATAATTTCTCTTCGTTGCCGTTGCTCGTCATCCCATGATAATTCACTTTCAAATAAGTTCAGTTTTAATAACTTAGTTTTTAATATAAGCCAAATATTTGTAACGTTACGAACTGTTGTAGGTTGATCTAAAATAAATACATCATTTGTGTAATTATTTCTTTGAATTCTAAAGCATAGGGGACGAGAAAAGATTGAAATAGTCAGTTAGTCATAACAGATACTTATATTAAACATGA